CCCCAAAACCCCAAAACCCCAAAACCCCAAAACCCCAAAAATATTCAAGCATTGAATAATTACTGTCCGAATTTATTAACTTTGACAACTCCTGGGAGTCTGTTGAGTAGATTTGTCCATAAATTCTCGACTACAACCATGCTGCCATCATCTAGCTTCTTCATGCAGAGAATTCCTTTGTACTTATTATCAATCACGAAATTGTCACCTTCATGCTCCTCTTGCTTCGTATTAGCCTTCTCATAGCTTCTCTGGGGTAGCAACTGCATGTACTTCTTGTGGTGGAAGGAGAGTGTTTCGTTCCAGTTCATTGTTCGAGTATCTGTCTTAGAAGGGTGATTCCTCACAACTTTGCTATGCTCAGGGATTTTCTTATCAAGGTCGATCACAATATTGGTGAAATGACTATACAACATCAGCTTAGTAGGCTCCAACTCAACACAAGCATAGATACGATTATACTGGTGAATATAGTTAATTGGGAACTTCTTCAGATTCTTTCTTGAGAAAGAAGAAAGATTACGATCCGACAGATCATGCAATAGGAATTTGTTAGTATCGTAGCATACAAGGAGACGGTTTCCTGTAAGTAACTGAGTAAATGTGACCAGAGAAGTCTTGTCAATTCCCATTGCTTTGAAGATCTCCTTAGTGTTGAAATCAAAGAAGAACACTTGGTTTTGCTCAAAACTACCGAAGGAAATGAAGTTCTCATTAGCTGTTATTTGGGTAAAGAATTTTCTCTTGAGGGTGGAAACATATTCTTTATCCTCCTCGTCAGATTCGTACATATCCTCATCACTTTCTTGCTGAGTTTGGTAGGTGTTTGTTACTTCCACACTGAGATTATCTCCTTCTTTGATTTTCACAAAGTTAACTTCTCCTTCTTTGTTGAATGTTAAGACAGTTTGGTTATCTAGAATGATGACATTGGAGCCTTACTTTGCATAAATTTTGTATAGATTACTCCTGGAAGTCCAACTGCATTTCCTTCAGAGATTTTCTGGAAATTGACCTCGTCTTCTAAGATATTGATCTTGTAGAAATGTGTGGTTTCAATATCAGAGATACAGATGTAAGAGGCAGAGGAGTTGACACTCACTGAAGTGATTCCAAATTGACTCTTTTCAAATTCAAGAAGGAATACAGGCTTTTTCCTGACCTCATACATCCAGAGTTCAACTGAGAAGGTCTTACGGAGAACTACAATCATGATTCCTTCGTCTTCCCAACTAGTTTTTTTACTGCCTTCTGCTGGTGCAAGATCTGTACAGATTGTAACCTGGTTTTTCAGTTCGAAAGGAGGGATATGAAGGAATTTCTTATTTGATCTTTTTAGCTTAAAGCTATCTTGCAACTTTCCATATTTTTCTAAGGAATAGATGCATAGATCTGTTGAGACTCCTCCTGAGATGAGACATTGGTGATTTTCGAGGTAAAGAAGTGATTTGATATCATGAGATTGACCTCTTGTTGTTCCTGAGTATACCCACTCTTTTTCTAAACCTACTTTATTGCTTTCATCATGCCCGATGATTTTGTTGTATTTATGAGCATTCTTTCCTGAAATATGAACTTCTAAAACACATTAATTCTATTGGAGTGCTAATTACCTTTATAAGCAACTACTTTGCTATCAACACCTGATGCATAAATAGTTCTCTGGTCGTGATTGACTGCTATTGTTAGGACGTCTCCTTCAAAATCTTTGAAGGTTTTAATTGCGTTGCCATTCATTTTATCCCAAATGATGATTTCTCCATTGCTATCTCCTGAAACTAAAAAGCCATCTACTTCTTCAATAGTCCAGATGCTAGCTTCTTTGTGCTTGAAGACTTTGGTAAGTCTCTTCTTGTCCCCTCCATCAAGGAACTTTCTGATGGACCCATCTGAATAAGCAGCATAAATGGTGTTCTTTTCAGTGGTAGAGGAGGCTACGCTTAAGCATTTTCCATCGAATATGGGAAGTCTTTTTAACTCTGTGAAAGATTCTAGGCAAATTATTCTCACTGCTCCGTCATCACATGCACATAAAAGCATTGATGAATCATGAAGACACTATTTCTGAGATTTGATGACTTACGCTATCCCAAATACCTGTGTCTCCAAGGTCAATTATTTTCCTTGATTGGAGGTTTACCAGATCCCACTCAATGACTGCTCCATTGAGCCCAGTTGTGAGTAATCTTCTTGGTACTATGTCTCCAGATACTAAATAAATTATCCCTAAAAATTACCATCTTTATATGTAAATGCATTATTTGTGGACTTTGAAAGTGTACAAAAGTCTGGCTCATACCAAGTGATATTCCTAATATCGTTATTCCTAATTCCTGGAATCACATGTATCATTGTCCAAGTGTCAGCTTTGCCAATAGAATTAAATTTTGAGGTATCTCTAGCCATATTGATTCCACAAGCTCTTGAGGCGTAAATCTCAATTTGTCCATTCTCTCTACCTACTGCTAGAAGTTTCTCATCTCTTGTGACTGCCATTCATTCAGTTGCTGGTGGAAGATACTCCAAGAATCTAAGTCTATAAGTTTTCTCACTATTTGATTGGGTTTCCATAACACTCCAAATTAATTATTAATTTGTTAAAGGGGTTTTGGGGTTTTGGGGTTTTGGGGTTTTGGGG